TTCAAGGAAAGGTGAAGGATCGAGGTACATGGAGATCTGAAGGAAATGTGCCTTCTGCAGAAGGAATAGCATGTGCAGAGGTCCTGAGGTTGGCAAGTGCCTGGAGTATAGAAGTAGCAGCAAGAGGTTTAGTGTGGCTGAAGGGATCTGGGCGTGGGAGTGGGCCCTGAGAGATTGGTGGGGTTGGGGGCCAGGGCCTCATAGGGTGTGGCAGGGAGCTGATGCATTCGATGGAACGAGCCGAGCACTGACCTGGTCAAGAGAACCGCTGTGTTGTGTGGAGAATTGACCCTCAGAGCAAGGTAGAAGCTGAGGTACTGTTAGGGCCTGTTGCAGTGGCCCAGGGAGAGAAGACAGAGGCTGAGATGTGAGTGGTAGCAGCAGGAGGAGAGGGAAGGGGCCACATATTGAAGGTGGAATCTATGGTATTCGCTGATGGGTGGATATGGAGTCAGGGAGGCTCCGAGGCTTCTGCCCTAAGCAGCTGGAAGGTTGAGTTGCCATTTACAGAGAAGACCGGGAGGGACAGGTGTGCGGGAGGAGTTGGGCTGAGTCTTGTTCATGTCTGTTAGACAGCCAGTGGCGATGTCCTCTGGCTGTGCATGTGTGCAGTTTAGGGAACGAGTCTGGGCTAGGGGCGCGCATCTGGGCATTGTCGGCTAACGAGCATTCAGAGCCCTGGGAGGGTGAGATCACCTCGGGTGAGGCGTGAAAAAGACGTGGCCTGATGGGTGGCTCTGGGGGTCTGAACAGTCAGAGCTCAGCAAAAGGAGGCCAAGGAGGAGCAGCTGGCGGGGTCAGAGGGGAACCAGGACAGGGTGGTGTTCTGGAAGACCAGAGACCGAAGTTTCAAAGAGGAGGGAGAGCTCAGGGGTGTCAGAGCTGCTGAGGGTCGAGTTCAGTGAGGATGGAGATTGGCCATTGGATTTAGCGACATGGGAGTCACTGGTGCCCTCCACCTGAGCCGACTGGTAGAGAGTGTGGGGTGCAAGTCCCAGGAGGGTTGCACGCATGCCAGAGAGAGCAGATGAGAGGTGGGAGACAGGAGTGCAAACTTAGGAGGTTTTGCTATAACGGGGAAAGGGAAGTGAGGTCCCTGTCCTCAGCACTGTGGGTACAGGACCAGGTTGGGAGGTAGGTTTGGGAGGGCTTCGGCAGGTCAGTGCCCGGGGCCACCGGTGGCCTCTGCACCCTCCCAGGAGGCCCTTCTTCATGTGGCCCACAATGTCCACTGTCCCTGCCCTGCAGTCCATGCTGCTCCTGGCCCCGAAGCTGAACGAGGCTAACCTCAATGTGGAGCTGATGAAGCACTTCGCTCGGCTGCAGGCCAAGGACGAGCAGGGCCCCATCCGCTGCAACACCACCGTCTGCCTGGGAAAAATCGGCTCCTACCTCAGCGCCAGTGTGAGTGCCCTGCACAGCGGTCAGTGCTCACTGTCACAGGACCGCAGCCTCCTCCGGGGCCAGGCCTCCTTGTTTGTGAACCATCTTCCTCCCAGAGACCTCGGTCCTAGGTCCTCCCAGCCCTGATGTCTGAGGGTGGAGTGCATTGTGCCGGGTCACACAGCCAGTAGGTGGTGGATCTGGGAACCGAACCCAGGCCTGCTGGGCCCCACAGCCTGTGTGCACCCTCTCAGCCAGGTTTTGTAAATGCAGACACTGCAGTGCCCAGATAGTTGACAGGAATGAATGAATTGGGTCAGTGGGGCAGGTGGGAAGGAGGCACCACCCCCACCCCAGGGCAGCTGCTGCTCCGGCCCCCGTCACCTTGTTAGTCCAGTGATCTGGGAGGAGAAGCCAAGATCCAGAGTTTCAAGTCAATTCTCCCCCACTTGTTAGTGACTAACCCATTTTTTAGCCTCTGGGAGCCCTGTGGACGGATGGCCTCTGCTCTGGGAAGTGAGGCCTGGCAGTTCTGGGCCCCAGGACTGACCCTACACTCGGGGGCCCTCTCTCCTGCTCCACCCCAGACCAGACACAGGGTCCTCACCTCCGCCTTCAGCCGGGCCACTAAGGACCCGTTTGCACCGTCTCGGGTTGCCGGTGTTCTGGGCTTTGCTGCCACCCACAACCTCTACTCGATGAATGACTGCGCCCACAAAATCCTGCCCGTGCTCTGTGGCCTCACTGTGGATCCCGAGAAATCTGTGCGGGACCAGGTGAGGCATAAATGGGGCCTGGCCCTGGAGCTGGGACTCGGGGGGATATGTGGGCCCTAGCTGGCCTCTTGGGCTCACAGGAGCCCTGGAGGCCCCAGCTCTGCCCCTTGCTACCCCACAGGCCTTCAAGGCCATTCGAAGTTTCCTTTCCAAACTGGAGTCTGTGTCAGAGGACCCCACCCAGCTGGCCGAAGTGGGTGAGTGGCCCACACTCATGTTCCCTCCTGCTACATCCTTGACTGCTACCTTCCACCTCGGAGTATCTGAAAGCTGGAAGAACCCTAGAGAGCAGACTTGATACTACTCTCCCCACCCCCATCTTGCAGATGAGGGAAGGCAGGCTGGAGAAGGGGTGCCCACTCTAGATCCCTCTGTTGCCCTATCACACTCCCCATGGACCCCTGAGGCGCCTACACCTGTCTCTCTCCTATCACTGCCCAGAGAAGGATGTCCATGCCGCCTCCAGCCCTGGGATGGGAGGAGCCGCAGCCAGCTGGGCAGGATGGGCTGTGACAGGGGTCTCCTCGCTCACCTCCAAGCTGATCCGTGCACACCCCACGGTTGCCGCAGGGGAGCCCAATGTCTCCCAGAGACCCACGCCTGAGGGTGAGTGTCTCAGACCGGCTGCATCAGTGGCAGAGGGTTTGGAGGTGCTGGCACCCAGGAGCTATTCTTGTCTGACTCCCCCTGGGGTGGTGACATAGGGGACAGGGTTGGATCTAGTCCCCTTAAGAGCTTCCCCTCCCTACACTCTGCCCCCACCCCCAGAAACCTCTGCCCTGTTCTGAGACTTTTCTGGGCCCCAGTGTGTGGGAACTCAGTGAGTCTCTGCTTCCCAGGACTTCCTGCCCCGGCTCCCACCCCTGCCCCTCCCACACCCGTTACCTCAGGACACTGGGAGGCACAAGAGGAGGGCAAGGACACAGCAGAGGACAGCGGCACTGCCGACAGATGGGATGACGAAGACTGGGGCAGCTTGGAGGTGAGTGAGGCTGAGGGGGCCTCCCAGGGGGACCCCAGCTTAAAGGCCACAGGCTGCCATTCAAGGGGCTCCTGTGGGCTTGGCTTGTCTCAGGCCTGTCCTCACCTGCATCCCTAGTGAGTAGACATCATGGAGCGGCCACTGTGGCCAGAGCTGGCAGATGAGCTCCCCTCACCTCCAGGGAGCAGGGTGGGCAGTGAGAGGCCGGAGGGAACGGGTTGGAGCAGCCCACTGAGCCTCCCTCTCGCCTGTCCCTGTCCCTCCACCTGCTTCAGAGCCCAGCTAGCCCCAGTGCTCAGCAAGGAGAGGCCACTCCCAGGCCTAGATCCAGACCAGTCCTCTCTGGGGGAGGGGGGTTCAGGACAGGCTGAGGATGGAGTGGGGCTTTGGGCCCAATTTCCCCATCTGCCTGACTGCAGTTTTGGGGAAGGGGTGGAACTCTGGATCTCATTCCCAGCCTAGAAGAGTGACGGAGGCCAGGTTCAATGTGTGCACCTTATAGATGTGAAGCAGGGCTTGAGGAGCAAATGAGGTGAAGGCAAAAGGAAAAACGGTGGAACCCATGGCTAGGAAGGGGCTGGAGGGCTTCCTGCCCTTTGGGGTTGGAGGTGGGGGGTGGTCCTATGGTCTTTCTCTCCTTTCCACACTGTAGCAGGAGGCCGAGTCTGTATTAGCTCAGCAGGACAACTGGAGTACTGGGGGCCAAGCCAGCCGCGCTGGGCAGGTGAGCTGGATGGGGCAGGTGTGTGTCTGCATGGAAAGCTGCGCCTGGCCCCTCCCTGTCTGGTGCTACCTCCCCCTTCTCTTCTGCAGACCAGCAACCCTGACCACAAATCTCCCGAGTCGGACTGGAGCAGCTGGGAAGCTGAGGGCTCGTGGGAGCAGGGTTGGCAGGAGCCAGGTCCCCAGGAGCCACCCCCTGAGGGCACTCAGCTGACCAGCGAGTATAACTGGGGTGGACCAGAGCCCAGTGACAAAGGCGACCCCTTTGCTGACCTGTTGGCGCGTCGGGAGGTTGGCACCCAGGTACTCAACTCCAGTCCAGTGGGAGGGTGCAGACCTGGGAGGGACCTCCACAGGGAGCTGGTCTCCAATTCAGGCCATGCTTCCTTTTTCAGCCAAGACCTGATTCGTGGGGTGATGACAACTGGGGTGATGATGGCCTGGAGACGGAGAGCCGTAAGTGCTTCCCCGAGGAGGGCTGGCACACCAGGGCAGTCCTCGCCTCCCCCTCCAGCAGGCCTGGGCTGGGAATCAGACCCACTTGTCCCGAGGCCCTCAGCCTGCCTCCCCTTCCTGTTGCAGGGCAGGCGAAGGCTGAGCTGGCCCGGAAGAAGCGGGAAGAACGTCGGCGGGAGATGGAAGCCAAACGTGCTGAGAAGAAGGCCGCCAAGGGCCCCATGAAGCTGGGGACCCGGAAGCTGGACTGAACTGCTGGTGTGGGTGCTTCCCGGCCACGGGGAACAGCCCCATGGATGTATTTATTGTACAAACCATGCCAGCCCGGCCAGCCCGGCCAGGCACATCTCACATGTACATAATCAGAGCCACAATAAATTCTATTTCACACCCCTGTGCTGGGCTCCATCTGCCCCTCCGAGGAGGCTGGGGTCTGGCACTGCCCTGCGGAGTCCATGCCTACCACGGAGGTGAACATAGAGTTTGCTTCAAAAGCCAAGAATAAAGAGACAGGATCTGATTTATCAGTTTCTAGGAAACACCCTCTGGGAGGAAGGCCGACAGCGCCCGGGAGACCCAGCATCCACCTGTAAACCAGGTGGAGCCAGATGGGCGCCCTCGGGACACGGGGCCCTGAAAGGGGTCTACAGGCCTGGCGGGCCCCTGGGTCCGACCCCGAATCTGGGCAGAAGGTAGAGGCTGAGCTCGCCCCCGTGTCGGGCAGAAACCGCTTGGTGATCGCTGAGATCCCGGTTGAACGTGGTGTCAGCGGCGACGCTGGGGACGCTGGGACACGCAGGCCCCGTGCGGGCGGATGCGCGCGTAGCCAGGTTTGCAGACACAGCGGAAGGAACCGCTCGTGTTTACGCAGCGCTCGCTCTTGCACAGCAGACCGCGCTGGTTCAACTCTCGGCACTCGTCGATGTCTGGAGGTGGGTGACAGGTGTGGGCTTTGCGAGGGGACCGGAACTGCACAGCCCCTGAGCTTCTGGTCCAGGCAGGATGACACATGGCCCCACTCCGCCCCGCCGCCAGCCTCTGGCCCCGCCCCTCCGCCCAGCTCACCCAAAAAAGAATCCTCCTCGGAGCTGTCCTCCTCTGCGCAGCCAGCAGAACAAGACGTCAACACCGCCCAGTGATGGCCTGACTCCCGCCTGCGTCCCCTTCCTACACTCACCGCGGGGTGGCTTCCCCAGCAGTAGGGGGCTCGCGTCCCAGAAGGAATTGCTCTCACTCTGCGATGTGGGGCACTGAGATCCTGGGAGGGGCAGTCAGTGGTCAGCGTGGTCAGTGCACTCAGCTCCTGCCCCCAATTCCCTCGGGGCCAACCCTTCCCTGGTTGGCTCACCAGCTCCGCGTGGCGGGCACGGGCGGCACTGGGCACCCCAACCGCGGCCACTGGGCCCAGCACACGTCCCGCTGCTCCGGGGCACGCTCTGCGGAAGGGGACCTGTCAGGGAGAGGCCCAAAGCAAGGACCACCCACCTGCGCCCCAAGGCTTCACACAGCAGAGGGCCCTGGAGTCCGTGCGATGACCCTCGCCCTCGCCCTCACCAGCCGGGCTCTCGGGGAGCTGGCAGTCTCGGCCAAAGGGCCCGGGCACCCAGGGCGGGCGACACTCGCAGCGGTAGGAACCCGGTAGGTTGACACAGCGGCCAGGGTGGCAGGCTGCGGGGTCCTGACACTCGTCCACGTCTACGGACAGTGAGGGTATGGATGGGGGGAGGTGTCACAGCTCATCCCAGGCCACCGCCTTCCTCCTGTTTCCCCAGCCAGCACCCCGGGCCTCACCCATCTCCTCGGGGCTCAGACACTGTCGCTGGGCAGGGCTGTACTCGGCCGGGGGCGTGCAGGCGCAGCGGTAGCCGCCCCGTGTGTTCTCACACACTCCGTTCCGGCAGTTGGACTCGTCCAAGCACTCGTCCACGTCTGCAGGGAGGAAAACCCAGGCGGTAGCAGCCCGCCCGGGGTCATGCGTGTCTCCTGGCCGCCTTCCCCTGGCCGCCGGGCCGTCGGCACTCACCCACGCACTCCAGCAGGTTCCCGTCGTAGTAGAAGCCCTGCTTGCAATAGCACTCGTAGCCGGGCTGTGTGTTCACGCACTTGCCCTCCTTGCAGATCTCCGCCCCGAACAATATGCACTCGTCGATGTCTGCGGAGTGACAAGCCGTGAGCGCACAGCAGCCTCTACCTGCGGGGCCACTGAGGCCTGGCCAGCCCGGACCCGTGAGCCAGGCTGACCACCGGAGCAGAGCACGCTCCGTGGGAGAGGCTTTTCCCGCCGCTCAGTGAGTGATGGGGGCGGGGCTTGGTGGGGGGCGGGGCCGGCGATGGCGGTGTGGGCGGCGCTTACCTCGGTGGGCCGGGATGCCATAGTTGACAATGTTGTTGTCCTGGGTGTAGCCCTTCCCATCCGGGCAGAGGCTGTGGAACTCAGCTGCGGAGTGAGAGCGGAAGGAAGGAGGCAGGGTTGAGCAGCACGTGCGTGCCTGCCTGCGTGCTGGCTGCCGTTTCACCTCGGAGCTCCCAGCTTCGTTCCCCCCCAATCCATTTCCTAATGAAGAAACAGGTTCTAGGAAGGGAAAGGGCCTGCTGGCTCCTGACCTGAGCTGTAGACCGGGCAGGGATAGATCTCACAGTGGTCTCCCCAGCCAGCCCCCAGCGAGCAGCAGCACTCCTGCTGGGTGACGTTGGTGGCCAGCACACTGTCGCAGAACACCGTGTCATCGAAGTTCAGGTAGCACTCCTTCTTGTGGTGGGGCTGCTCCACCTCTGAGGGGAGGAAAGGGCAGCTCAGGGTGCTGATACCATATTTTCCTGTCCACACGGCCCACCAACCTCATCCCTCTGCTCCCCCACACTACCTGCCTCCCCAGCGCACCCAGTGATGGCCACCCTCCATCTCAAGCCAGGTCTGGCCCCACTGGATTCTTCCAGGCAAAAGAAATTTCTCCCTGCTCCCCGAATTCCAGAGGCTGGGACCAGGACAGGATGCATCTCTGAACCCCAGCTGCAGCTCAGAGGAGTCATCTGGTCAGAAGAGGGAGCTGGGAGGCACTCACCCTCACAGCTGTGCTGGTCCTGGGTGGGCGTGAAGCCCTCATCACAGACGCAGACATAGGAGCCCTGCAGGTTCTCACAGGCCCCGTGGGGAAGGCACAGGCCCGGGTCCTGGCTGCACTCATCTATGTCTTCAGGGAGTGAGGGGGACAGGAAGAGCTGCTCAGGGGGAAACCAGCCCCTTCCCCTGGGGGTGTGCCTCAAGGGCCTCACACAAGTTCAGAACCTGAATTTCCACTTTGATTTCAAAGTACACACAACAGGAAGTCCTCTCCTGTCTGTTTGCATGTGGGGAGATGTGTGAACATAGGCAGACTTTATGAATCCTAAAGTGAATTTGCAACTAGTGTGACCAGATGGTCAGTCCCACTGACAACAGAATGAAGTCCTAACTCTCAGACCAGCATTTGAGAACTTTTTCATTTTGGTCTCCCAATATCTTTAATCCCATCACCCTTTAAACCACCAAGACCTCTACTCTGTGTTTAGGGTACAGGGATCCACTCCCTCCTAAAAACACAACTAGCTCCTTCCAGATCTCTGTGCTTTGCAAATACTGTTCTTTGGGTCTGGAATACCATCCCATGCTTCTCTCTCTTCCGAGAAGAGAGAGGGAACATGGTTATGCTTCAGGTTCTGATTCAACTTGTCAGCACTTCCGTTGCAATTAATCACTAGTTCAGACCACTTTTGGCACCCAGCACCCTGAACGGTAAGAATCAGTTTACACACCAGCCTCCCCGAGCTGGGAGCCCTGGGTCATTGCTCAATAAATAGTAGGTTCTCAGTAAACTCTTGTTGGATGAATACATGTCAAGGTGATTTGACACACAGAAGGCACCGCGTAATTACTGTCATTGTCGCTGTTATTCTAAGTAAAAGAGTGGAAGGATGACTGAGTGGATGGATAGACAAAAAGACAGACAGATCAACAGTGTGCCTAGGAGATGACTGCTCCCTGCCATTCCCCTCAGGAGCTCACACCCAATCCCCCCATACCTTGACACTTCCTGCCGCCTACCAGCCGGTGCCCCTGGGGACAGAGACATCGGTAGGAGCCATTGGTGTTGATGCAATCACCCCCAATGCAGGCCGCAGGGAAGTCACACTCATCAATGTCTGTAGGGGATCCAAGAGGTGGAGAATCTCAGGGTCTGCTCCTCACACAGCTGAGGCTGCCAAGGCTTCCCGCAGAGCCCAGGTGTGGCCCACACGCCATGACCCATCTTGGATGAGGATGGGGGCCAGACCAGGGAATGGTTGGCTTGTTTACAGGTAGCTCCTGGACTTGGGGCCTGGGCAGTGGAGGTTCTGGGGGAGGGAGGAATAGGCCAGCCCCCCAGCTGTAGGCGCCTCTTACCTTCACAGCGGCTCCTGTCCCTTGACAGATGATAGCCAGAGAGACACTGACACTGGAAGGAGCCTGGCGTGTTGGTACAGATGCCATTGTCACACACGTCCCCGGACTCACACTCGTCCACATCTGCAGGGCACGGGGTGGGGGTGGGGGTCAGAGGGCCAGGGTGGAGGCAGTGTCGCAGGCCTCTACTACCCTTTCCCACTCTTGCCCTTGGCCTGGAGGTAAGAGCTGAGGCCAGCAGAGCTCAGGAGAAGCACGGGACCCTCACCCCACTCCCAAGTGGGACACCGTGCCCCGGGGCCCAGGCCAGGTGCTGCCAGGGACCCTGGCCCTGTCTGATTCCAAAAATCGTGGGCCTTCCTCTCCTTTGCTCATCCTCACCAAACAAGAGGCATCTTTCTGCATCCCCTCTTCCCATACTGCCCTGGGCTTCCTCTCACTTCTGCTCTTTTCCTTCCCCCACCTGCCATGGCTTCCTTTCTTCCCGTGTCAGTAATGCTTCCTGCATGTCTGTCCTTCTCACAGGAAGGGAAGGAACCGGGCTCCCCGCTGAGAACATGCTGCTCCACAGTCCTCTCTGGTACAAGACTGATGTTGCCCACACCCCAGGCTCCTTCCAAACCATGGAGGTGCCCCTGGCCCTATGCCAGCCTCCATTCTCTATTCTATGGCTGTCAGCACCCACCTTCCTAGTCCCTCTCCCTCTGTCTTCCCCCTCATCCTAGAAGCTTTCAGCATCCGTGTGGAGAGCCAGGCCCAGCCTCTGACCTTGATCCCTCGGTTGTAACCACCTCAGAGGCAGCCGCTCACTCTCGGGACAAGGGGCTGGAATCTGCCCCACCTTGGGCATCTGTCTCAGAGGCTGCTTCCTCCCGCTGCCTCGGCTGTTCCAGTCTCCTCTACACCCTCTCCCAGGGGCCCATGACCACCTCTCCTCTCTCCACTGGTCTGGCAAAGACAGAGCCACGGCCTGCCTCTCCGCCTCCGGATCTGAGTGCTGAGTGGGGCTCGAAGCCAGCACCAAGCTGAACGCACTGGGCCATGGCCCCTCCCTCTGGCCAGTTCCTGTGTGGCTATGGCCACCCTCTCCCCTCCTCTCCAGCCTTGACTTCTGGAAAGCCCCTAGGGCAGTTCCAAACCTTGACTGTTCCCTAGTCCCCTACTTAATTCTGGCCCTCACGTTTACTTGAGAGAATTAAGGGTGATTTTTAACCTCCTGAAAATCATTATCTCCTCCATTCCTTCCTGGTCCCATTAGAGCAGCGGTTCTCAACCTGTGGGTCGCGACCCCTTTGGGGGTCGAACGACCCTTTCACAGGGGTTGCCTAAGACCATCCTGCATATCAGATATTTACATTACGATTCATAACAGTAGCAACATTACAGTTATGAAGTAGCAATGAAAATAATTTTATGGTTGGGTCACAACATGAGGAGCTGTATTTAAAGGGCCAGAAGGTTGAGAACCACTGCATTAGAGCAAGAGATGGTCCTCCTACCCATGGCTCCTCTCCCAGCTGCCCCTGCTGTCCCGTGGCCCACCTTCCTGGCATCTCCTCTTCAGCCTAGAGCCCTAGAACCCACCCAGCGACCCCAGCTCCTGCTCTTCCTCAGTGCTACCTGCATCTCCGACTCCCATCATGCCACAGAAGCCTTCTGCCAAGGCCACCAGGGACCTTATTAGGTCACCAGTAAGTAAGTTTACAAGAACCTCTCTTGCCTTTAGCTCCTCCTCCTCTCCTTGGAAGCCTCCCCTACCCAGCTTCTCAGCTGTGCTCCTGGGCCATCCCACCACCCCTTCTCCCCCACTTCCCGCTCCTATTCCCCTGCCTGCCACTCATGTGGCAGTGTCCCCAAGGCTCTGCCAAGCTCCCCTCTGGGGACCCACCCCCCTTGGCTGAGCATGCACACCCTAAAGTCCCACAGCCCCCACAGCCCCCTGTTCCCGGTGGGTGTGTCTGGCCCAGGCTTCCAATCCGCATGGGCCACCCTTTGCTGGCATCTCCAGCTGAGAGGCCCTCAGGGACCACCCACTCAACTTGTCCAACATGAAACTTAGTGTCTTCCTTCTCGAACATGCCCCACTCCTGGGGAGCCTCTCCCAGTGAGAAGCACCACGCACCGAGTCACCCAAACTGGAAATCTGGAGGGCCCCTCCCGCCCTTCTCTCCCGCACCTGGACATCCAGTTAACTCTCTAATATCACACCATCTCATGACCACGCCGAGGCCACCACGCTCCTCACCCACCAGCATCTCTGTCCTGAGTCTTTCCAACAGACCAGCCACTCTCCACCTCGGCATCAGGGAACTGTCTAAACTTGCAGCGGTTCTCAACCTGTGGGTCGAGACCCCTTTGGCGGTCGAACGACCCTTTCACAGGGGTCGCCTAAGACCATCCTGCATATCAGTTATTTACATTACGATTCATAACAGTAGCAACATTACAGTTATGAAGTAGCAACGAAAATAATTTTATGGTTGGGTCACAACATGAGGAACTGTATTTAAAGGGCCAGAAGGTTGAGAACCACTGGAAAGCAACTAGTGAATCTTGTCATTCTTCCCCTTAAAATGCTTCAGGTGCCCCTTACCCTCAGGATGAAACTCAACCTCAGGGGGATGGGGGTGCAAGGGATGGGAACCTGCCCCTCCCCAGCCAGCCTCCCCCCCTTCTCCTGCTGGTACCTTACAGCTCCCTGCACACTCTGCTCTGTTTTTCACCTCCGAGTCCCTCTGCTTGGCGTGCTGTTCCCTCTCACCCTCCTTTACTTGGCTAATTCCTATTCATCTTTTAAGACAATTCAGGCCTGCCCTCCTCCCAGCCCCGCCGCTGTTTCCCAAGAGCACCCAGACCCCTTCCAGGCCCCCAGCCCTGTGCTCTACTGTCTGTGTCTCATGTCCCCAAACGGCTTCTTGGGGCATAAGAAACACTAGTGCAACGGGGGCTATTAATTAGCCCGCCCCCTCCATTCTTTTATCTTTTTTCTCCGAATTTAAGTAACGTGTTTTGCAAATGCAGCTCCTAAGACCCTTCCTACGTGGAAATTCTGGTGGCCCTTCCACGGCCAGGTTCTCTGAGAAAAGAGTGAACAGATCGGTGAACTGAGGGTGACTTAGTCACCGCCTGCCCACCCGTCTGAGACCCAGCGACCCAGTCCCCGCCTTCGGGCTGTGCGGGTGGCAGGAGGCGTGGCGGGGCAG